CAAGTATTACAATTTGCGTTTTTATTACAATTTAACAATCGTAACATGGTCCCTTATTTTTTTCCCTCAGTAAGTTATTTATAAGATTGAGTGACATATATGATAATGTTTACCAAACGACTTTTTCTCATACACTCTTAAAAAAAACAACCAAAACGCATAGGTGATTTTGAGAATATCGGACTCATGTAGCTGCGGCCAAAACAATACAAATATACTATTTCTTTCCAAAACGTCATCTTTAGGGGGTGTTTAACAGCATCCTCGCCCAAACGCGGCAATTTTAACCTTTTCCCTTGTTTTAGAAGCTTTTGAAGAAATATGTGCCTAAAACGTCACCAAGAGAATATGCAAAGCAAAATGCACGTGTAACTTCGGTGCAAGTAAGCGGGAAAACATGGGATATCGATCACTGTGAAAAGGCAAACGTTGTGTTAAATTTTGCCATTCGCTTTTGCCTGGAAAAGAAGAAATCATCATGCCACGACTGAGTGCCTCTAATCGAAACATCGTCATAGGCCGCCTCGAAGCTGGGGAGTCGCAATCTGCAGTTGCCCAGCATTTCAACGTTCATCACAGCACCATATCTCCCTTTTGGGATAGTTTCCTGCAGATCAATTCCGCCCAAGATCGCCCAAGAAGCGGCCGTCCAAGAGTTACCACCCAAGTCCAGGACCGCTACATCCGGGTTGCTCACTTGTGTCATAGTCTTGCCAAAGCCGTGGAGACTGCACAACGCAGTCACCAAACTGTCAGGAATCCATTGTGTGAAGTGGGGATTCGACCGAGAAGGCCAGTTGTCGCCCTTGTTTCGAGAGACTTCCATCGGTGGTGCCGTAGAGTCCGGAACTGGAGCCTCAGAAACTGGAGGCGAGTCTAGTTAAGTGATGAATCACGATTTCTTCTTCACCGACGAGATGGAAGACAGTGTGTTTACCGTCGGAGAAATGAACGTTTTGCCCCTAATTGCATTCGACAGATTCGGTGGTTAAGTGTCATGGTATGGGATGCGATATCCAGCATACAAAGATCGGATTTAGTGGTGGTTCAAGGGAATTTGACAGCAAATCGGTACATCAACAAATTCCTTGCATGCCACATGCTTCCGATTATAGACCGAAAGAGGGAGTTGTTCCAGCATGAAAACGCTACTTCACATACAGCACGCGTCACGGTCCGCTACCTTGCCAATTCTAAAGTCAGTGTCTTGCCATGGCCTTCCCGATCAACAGTTCTAAACCCGATAGAACACCTATGGGATAAACTCAATGTACGTGTACATCACCGTCAAAACACGCCTCAGATACTTTCACAACTGGCCTTCGCATTGCATTAAGAATGGGGAAGACTTATCCAGCCTATGCCGAGAGGGTGCCGAGCAGTAATTGTCGCCAATGGTTGCCCAGTACTGGCTTTGACGCCATCTTGTTAACTCCAGTAAACAGAAACACAACAATAGAGGCTGATGTGTTGGCGAACTTTTTGTCTATAGATGTGTGACTTGTTCAACTTGTTCAGTTTATTTCAGTAATTAGGCCGCCGGCCCATAATACAGATACATCATGTGACATGTATAAACAAAATTGAGAAGACACTTTCTAAACATATTTACAATTATATCAATAGAAAATCTCTTGATGTTAAAATGGTCTAAAAGAAATCCCACATTGAGCTTTCTCCGCCCTTTGTCTATTTAATAATATAGTCGTTTACATTTTCTAAACACAATATCTTTAGTTTTATCAATATTAATTTTCAACTGCTATTATTTACAATAATCTGTCAGTTTATGTATCCTTTTTTGTAACCCATTCACTGTGCTATCAAACATAACATAGTCATCTGCAAGTAACGAGGTAAACGAATTAGTAAGTCAATATTGATACAACGCTGATCATCACTGAATAAAGACTCAACCATATCGATGATGAAAAAGGAAAACAAAATGGAGATAACTGACAACCCTGTCGAATACCGAACTAGCAGTCACAGAAAACCGAATTGCCACCTTGTAAAGATACAATTAATTATACAGTTTTATACGTTTTGAAGTAACCTGAAAGGTTTCCCTTTAACATTCTCTGTCCATAACTTATAGAACATGCCATCACGAAACACAGACGCAAAAGCTGCTTTCAGATTTACAAATACACAATACAGTCTGCCCCATATGTAGGGTTAGATATTTAGAAATAATAGTGCGTAAAATGAATAAATTGTCAATTGTTTGATAACCTTTTCTAAAGCCTGCTTGTTCAGAAACAAAGTAACACACCCACCCCCCCCAAGCTGATAAACGATTACAAATGATTTTTGGCAAATATGTTTCAACTCACTTCAAGTAATGTAATTGGTCTTTAATTCATGGGACTGTTAACATCACCTTTCTTGTATAAGGGAACAATAACATCAAGTGTCCGTTCTTCAGGATATACTCATGGAAACGAGTAAGATATTTGTACCTTCTCTCTGGGTAATAGTATTTACAACTACAGAGGAGCCACCAAGTACTGTAGACCATATCAATCTACTATCTTCCTTTAAACAATGCATCAATCATTTTATCAGCAAAGGAATTAAAAGCATTTACACATTTGGATGAACATAAATCTTTATAAATATTTTAGAGCCAATCGGTTTTCTATTCTCACATTTGATTTACTATTACTATGATGAAACATGGGTAACAAACGTCGAGCATTACACCGAGCTTCTCCACATTCTTCATAAAACCAGTTGTCTGCCCTTTTGTGTAAATACAGGGTACGTTTCTTCTTGAAAGAACTTGCACAAAATATAATAATATTGTTAAACTCACCATATACATTTTTTACACCACAATTAGAAATATGGCTATAAAACAAACTAATATCCGTATCAGAAATTATGTGACCATGCGTCTGTACAGTTTTCTTGGCGACTATCATTCCATGTGTATCTTGGTTGTTGAGTAAGCGCTTCACTCATATGATTCACAGGTATGTCAACTGCAAGGTTGTAGGTCACAGACATGTCAGGCGACTCTATTTCGTATCCGATGTCAGTTATTGAATAATGAGAATATATTCTCTGTGCACATCACATAGTCCACAACGCTTTCCCCATTATTTGCCAGACATGCTATTTTACCAATGTTTTTGTCACCATGAAGCCGTCCATTACAAATTGTAAGTCCTGTGTGTTTACAAAACTCGAGGAGGTCAATACCTCTGCTGTTTACAATTTTGTTTGTGGTAATACACCATTACAACAGTAAATACTAACGTCGTCTATCGGAAGATAAAACTGGTTATCATTCTCTGTATAATCAGTGTAAGTACCATCATCAGCTCGGGCATTGAAATCTCCTTAAACAATAACATAGCATTCTTTAAACATGTTTTTAATATTAATAAAATCTTCCTCAAGTAGATCGAAAATAGGTTCATCTGCACATGCATTTAAGTTCTACGCCAATGGAAACACATCTTGTTCAATTTTCTCTACCTTAGTTGTCAGCCTCTTGCAATACTAATTCACTTCTGCCCTCATTGTTCTCGAATGTTCGTTCATTTCAACCCTCATTGCCTTCAATCAATCATCCTTTTTATCGCCATAAGTTTACAAATACATGCAAAGCGTCATGGGTGTATTTAAAAATATATATCCCTTTTAGGCTATGGCTTGAAACAAGTCCAGCAATTATGAACGGATAAACTAATCATGTCATGTTGACAGACATTATAATGGAAAGGAATTTACATAGATTTCTTATTTGCTTCACATTATGAGTTTCAAATAGGGCTGACATTTTATAATAGTATATTTCTGGAAGCAGTAAACTTACGTATTACATTGAAATAAGTAATGAAACTCATCTCCGAGTTGGGAGGGACATGTTGGACAGAATCGTTTATTTGAGGGAATATTTACCCAGCAACCTGTTTCAATAGGTAATTTATGGCTGGCGGTTTTAAATTTGATTAAAATATTACAGTGCTTTGTTCCTAATTCACGTTCCAGTAAAGAAATATCATAATGAGATTTCATACATTCATAGATAACAGCTTTAGAGGAAGATGTTATGGGGTTGTTAAGCAATTGTTAAGCCTTCAGTTCTTTCAACATTTATGAGTTTGAAATTTGTCCCTCAAGCGTGTTTTTGGGGGGTTTCGGTGGTGCACCAGGGTTAGTTTCAATGTCATTACTTAGAACTAGAAGCAGTGACGAGAATAAGCATACTCAGACACAGCCCCATCAAACGACTCTCTTTTTATATTTTTTAATATTATGTTTGATTTATATCTATTTGTACAGCGCCAATATCCAGCTCTGCTAAGCTGCTCAAAAGCGCTTTGTTTTTCCCTCGATCATTGGATGTCAATCTTAAACGGCACACCGTATTACCAATCTCAACTCCCTGGGTACATACAACTCTTCATCAACTAGGCGGATCGAGTTAATGTGGCTTTCCCATCCTCACGAGGTACCCATTCACAGCTGGGTGGACTGGGACACATAGTCACAGTACTTTGTCCACGTTTACTGCACGTTGCTGTACCTGCAACTAGGCGTTGTACGAATTCATGTGTCCACCGTCTGGTCATTTACTAACGGATTCGTGCACAGGGTTGTGTACTGTACAGTAGGGAGTTTGACAACACTGAAAGAGTCTGCAAAGTTGACTCCAAGGTTTTTACACCCGGTCACAGGAAGGCTCGATCCCGGGGGCTTCAGGAGAAAATTTGTGCATTTAGGTTGAAAACAACCTATGCGCGCTCTAAAGACATCAAGGTCGCATCCCATCTTTGTGTATAACAATGTTTCGAAAGTTTGTAAGTTAACAATTCTCGAAATCTTCGCCAAATCTTCGAAATTCACGGGAGCGCTCGAGCATACGACCTGTCATTACCGCTAAGTGGCGCTCTTTCCTCAAAAATGACTCATGCGTTTCTTTTTTTTGAAGAGTGTGTTTCACAGATAGCAAATACCCGCCTACCTGTAATAGTTTTACTGCGCGGAGTGGCTGTGCCAGGGTATATAAAGTCCGTGCTGTTGCCCCCGGATTTATCATTACACAAGATCAGGCATAATGCAAGGGCTTACTCTTGTCGTCCTCGCTGTTGTTGCAGTGGTCGTTGTGCTTCCATCTGCATCGTCGCAAAAGTGAGTAGACTCCTATTTTATTAGTACTGAGTGATGGAGTAAGTTTCTCGTAAGGGTATTGCACTTATATCACATCATGTCAGCTTAATGTGTCCAGCGATTCAGGATGTCGACCTGGTCGTCAGCACCTTGAGTTCGGGTATGATACCAACAAACGACGGACCGTTATCAGGGGGATAAATATTTCAGGGGAAAAACATTTAGGGAATTTTATAATACTGTTAAGAAAATTAAAGCCTATTCCGTTTTTAATCGCAGTACCTGTGTTAATTTGATAATGGCGAAATCTCAGCACAATCGTCAACAGCCGAGGGGATGATGTAAGTCCAGCTTGGGTCCATGCAGATAGCAAAAGTCCTCATGGTCTCTGGTATGGTGACCTGCTGTGCGATCTATAGCCCGGTTTTATATTGTGTTGTCCGAAATAGTGTCATATGTTAGCTAGTTTTCATTTAATCTGTGATATTCCAGTTGCTTTACTGTCTTTTGCAGACAGAATTTTGTCCTGAAATTAGATTTTTCCTGTCAACGCCTAACGAGTTTAAGTCACGACATGGCTGATATACTGCCGATGTGTCTAAAGATCTTAATTCACTCACGAAATGTTAGGGTGAATCCAGGATTCTAACTCTTGCTTATGTTATAATGGCAACTGTCCATAGTGGTTGTCGGCGCCTTTGACCATTGTGCCACCCACGTCCCTATACATATAGTGACATAATCTGAAATTTATAGCGGGTAGGCATAGTGATTATAATCAGTCACATAAATGTTTCTTTGCCGTACCATATTCTAAAAAGATCAATATGACACCAGTGATCACAAATAGAGATTGTTGAGTACTTGTAAAAGTTAAATATTTGATATTTGTTCAGCCTCTTTAATGCATGTGCCCAACACTCCCTAAGCTCAATCTACGGACCAGTGAAGATCCGGTTTAGAATTGGTCTTCACTAACCCATGCTTGTCGTAAGAGACGACCCGTAAAGATCCGGGTTAGAATTGGTCTTCAGTATCCTATGCTTGTAACAGGCGACTAACGGGATCGGGTGGTGGGGTAAACAAACAAACAACAAATCACACTCAAATATCTGACAATTACTATTAAAACTTGCCCTGGAGGGAAATCGAAAGTTTTTTATGTGACCAGTTGACGAGTACAATTAGCATAACTTAACCAATCCTATCAAGATTATATGTCGATATAGATCTGCAAGAATATATGTGTAGTTAATACAGATTGAATGACTTATCCATGTGTGACTTAGACAACTGGCAGATTTTACCCGTGAAGATCCGGGTTAGAATTGATCTTCAGCACCCCATGCTCGTCGTAAGAGGCGGCTAACGGGATCGGGTGGTCCGACTTGCTGACTTGGTTGACACATGGCATGTTGTCCCAGTTTCGCAGCTCATGCTGTTGGTCACTGATTGTCTGGTTCAGATTCGATTAGGGCGGTGGGGTACCCTAGTGGTTAAAGCGTTTGCTCGTCACACTGACGACCCGGGTTCGAATCCCCACATGGGTACAATGTGTGAAGCCCCTTTCTGGTGTCTCCCGCCGTGATATTGCAGGAATATTGCTAAAAGCGGTGTAAAACCCAAATCACTCACTCACGCAGATTCGATTATTTAAAGATCGCCGCTATACAGCTTTAATATTGCTGAGTGCAGAGTTGAACAACAAACAAACTGGCGATTTAGGGGCGGACATAAAAGTCGCACCTGGGGTGGTCTGTGAACCAACTGAATCGTAACTTCATAATGAAGAGATGTAATTAACTGATAGGCATTGAGTGATTGGAGTTGGAAGAACATGAATACATGACACTTTTTATTAGAATAATTAGAATTAGGAATAAAAGAGTTGTTACGATCCATAAATTCATTATTGGCAACGTGCCATGTATTAATTGTCAATTTATTATTCTTTAATCTATCTTTTCTATCTATCTTTTCTGTCTATCTTTTAACCATTCTATTTTCTTCACAACTCATGAAACAATGCCTTTGATGTTTCAGGATTTCGTATTCGTGTGGAACAAAGGCAATTCGCTACACAGTCGCCTGTGGGTGGCTCTGGCAGAGTCGCTGCGCGAAATACAGGTAGGTTCATCGTAATATTTATAGATCTGAGTGAGTGAGTGAATGTGGTTTTACGCCGCTTTTAGCAATATTCAAGCAACATCACGGCGGATAGTATTGACGCCATGTATTGGAGCACCTGTTTCCAGTTTAGCCTTCCTTTGAACCCGAATTGCGTAGATTGATGCTCATGAATTTGAGATCCGGGTTAGAATTGATCTTCAGTAACCCATGCTTGGGTTAAGAGGCGACTAACGGGATCGGTTGGTCAGACTCGCTGACTTGGTTGACACATGTCATCGTATCCCAATTGCGTAGATCGATGCTCATGCTGTTGATCACTGGATTGTCTGGTCCAGACTCGATTAATTACAGATCGCCTGGAATATTGGTGAGTGCGGCGTAAAACTAAACTGACTGACTCACTCACTCACCCTTCATTTGAAAATTTGATCGAGGAAATCCAAATCGGCAAAAATGTCAGTGCGGCAACTTCGCCGGACCACTTCTGGGATTGTGGTCAATGATCGGTCCGAGATGAGAACTATTGTGGTGTAAAGAGTGAGTGAGTGGGTTTAGTTTTACGTCGATTTTAGCAATATTCCACTAATATCACCAAGGGGTCACTTAAAAATGGACTTACACGTTAAGGACAAACACGAATAGAACAACTGGCGCAGCGAGCGAAGGCTTCAAACCAATAGGCTACCCCATTTTACAGATCTGCCGCACTTGGCATATCAGGGGATGGGGGGTTGAATGTTGAACACAATTGAATTACAGACAGCCTCATGGATAACTATACTGCAGTTGGCGCAGAGATCTTCAGATTCCAGGTAACCAGGGGCTGTTGGGTAGCCCAGGAGTTACAGCGTTCGCTCGTCACGCCGTGTACCCGGGTTCTATTCCCCTTTGCAGCCAATTTCTGGTGTCCCCTGCCGTATTATTGATGGAATATTGCTGCGGTGTAAAACTAAACTCACACTCATGTTACCAACACGTACTTGTGAAGTACTACAAATACAAACAGTGGACATTTTCTTTTATATAAAAAATTATTTTGATGATTTACAATATCACATTTTGAAAGATCTTTCCACGATAGGATGTTATGAGAACCAGTTTCACATAGCGATCCTAGCGCAAGACGAAAGTTTTAAAAAAAAAAATCGAGAAACGATCTGACCGCTAAACATGGCTTTGTAAATTTCAGCTACAGCAGTTGTAATTAGTCAGGTGTTGAATCTTCCGATTTCCGAAGGGTTGGCAACACGTAAGTTTCCTTAAGTAGGGACACATGTAAATTACCAAGATTCAATTTGTTACACATCTCAGAAATGCATGTATCATGCCGGATATCAAGGGTATGTATATGAACAGATTATAATTTTCATGTTACCGCAGCACAAACAAGACCTCATGTTTCTATCACGTGAAATAAATAGTTCATGTTATTTCGTTTTCACACATTTTCATACGTTTGAAATCAACGTTCATGCGACCTTATAATTCTTATCACCTAAAGGGTCTGGCAACGAAAGCAGTATTATGCAAGCTAACACGTCTTATTAAATTGCATTCGTTCTTGCTACCAGTATCAATTACGCCATGTGTACACTGTTGGCAAATATTGTGAGGTGCTTGTTTTGAGGGAGAATAGTAACGCAATAATTGTTTCAAACTGTACGAAAAGGTTTGTAATAAACTCATAAACACATAAAAATGTATTTGTATCACGGAAACACGGACAGTAAATGATCAGAGGCGGGTATCACGTGACATGACGTCATATGTGCCAATTGCCGATGGCTTCCTTTTTGCTTTTACATGACATCGACCATGGATTTGTTTCTGACACGGATGTTAGACCGTATCAATACGAGCCAATTTTTCATCTTGCAAGATAGTGAAGATGGAGAAGAAGAATCAAGCAAACCGGAGGCACAATTTGATGTCAAAATAAAAAAAATTCAAATGGTCCATATATTTTATCAGGAATATTACTTGTCAGCAAACTGTGGTTCAGTCACAACCAGCACACCCACCCATATAATAAATTATCAGTCCCTAAAGAAAATAGAATTTTGAAATGTGATTGAAGTTCCTTTTGTGTCAAATCCTTTACATTACAGATTCTCTAAAAGACATTTATGCTTCAGACAATAGAAGCAGTAGTGTGTGGATCCTAGTTCTCATTAATAAATTATCCCAGCCTGGTTGAGCAGAGATAATTTAAGCGAGGCAGATAATTTATGCACCGAAAACTGGTGAATTATAAAATACTAGTCAGGACAATGTATATTGCTCTAGTTTTAGCTTATGGAAATACTTATGTTGCTTTTGCTTAACCTTAGAATGACATCATGTCAGCCAATGAGAATATAGAACAACTTTCACGGCACACACTACTGACAAACAGCTATTGCGATGCCGACGCGCGTAATTCGACAAAATGGAAAACAATGAATGATACAGACACTTGTTATTTTTTCCGGATAGACTGCAGTAATTGGCGCTCAATCCGGAACGAACGTTTTCGCGAAACATGTTCAAGCTCGTGGGAAATCTCTTACTGATTTTAATGATAAACTCTTTAAATAAAAAAGAAACGCACAGCCCAAAAATAAGGAAATGTATTAAACATATGTAAGTGTACATAAGTCCATTAAACTTGAACGTAGATCCGAGACGCGGATGAACATATGTATTGTTGTCATTGTCAACATCAACTCACTGCACATTTGTGGACACATGTGCGTTCAGGTTAGTACCTGGTGACACCACCCCTTGCAGCCGTCACTGCTCGAGACAGTCTTGGAAAGGATTGCACAAGTCATCGGATTTTTGCTTGGGGAATTCTTCGCAATTCCTCCTGCAACGCGTTGGCATGTTCTGCAGGTGTCTGAGGACGATGGTGACGTTTACGGACGCGACGATCAAGTTCGTCCTATAGATCCTCGATCGGGTTTAGATCAGACAATTTGAAAGGACATTGCCGTTTCTTTCCATTGGCGAGATAGGCACATGTTACACGAACTGTGTGAAGTAGACTCTATCTACTTCACATACAGCACGCTTCACGGTCCGCTACCTTCGCAATTCTAACGTCAATATTTTGCCATGGCCTTCCCGATCACCAGATCTGAACTCGATCGACGTGTATGTCAACGTCAAAACATGTCTCAGACACCTTCACTACTGGCCATTGCATTGCAGGAAGAGTGGGGAAGAATTCCGCAAGAGCAACTTCATCGACTTGTCCAGTCTGTGCCGAGACGGTGCCGAGCAGTCATTGCTGTCAGTGGTGGACTCAAACAAACAGAAATACAACAACAGATGCTGCTATTGTATTGGCGAACTCTTTGTCTATAGACGAGTGAATTGACATCTTTTTACCATTGAAATTACTGGAAATAATTGCTCTTAAACTAACGCAATAATTTCTTCTAAAATGGCTTATGCGTTTCTTTTGTTGAAGACTGTATCTCCACCCTTAATATTATAGTGCTAGAAAGAGGGCAAAGGAAAGCGTGGTATGTGGTATGTGGTATGTTCTACTGAAGCACTCCTGATCTCGTGATCAAAAGCAACCCAAACTTTTATCGCCGTACCGTGTTACCGATAACACATGGCGTCCAGCCTTGTCTCAGGTTGTTGTAGGATTGCATCACCCCCCTCTAAAATACAATCTTGAGTGACCCTGCCCAACGATAGAACCACTGAACAGAACTAGTGACCAGGGTGCCGTTGTACAAAGGTGATCCCATACCTTAACATACACTTACGATTGCCGTAGCGCTAAGGTTGTACAACAGCATCCTGAGATTAATTCACCACTAGGCTACTCCTCCACTTCTAAAACAGCGTCGCTCTCTTCCCCCTCTTCAAAGGTACAGAGATGCCCTTCATCATGGGAGTTTCTCTATGCAAAGCGTCACAAAAGAAATAGCTTGAAGTTTGGGAGGCTCATTTGGGAACCTGGTATTTTTCGCATCGACGTACTTTAAAATACGGGATGGAAATAGTATGCTCTTCTTAACTTCTTTGAGTGGCATTTAGATGTGTGATGAACAACGAAGAGAGTTCTATGGATATACTTCTTTTTTAATTATATTAATATGTATAAAGGTGTTAGAAACTACAACGAAACGTCGCTCATATTAATATTAAAGAAGTTGTATATTCATAGAACTTTCCTCGTTGTTTATTATCTTCTTTCTTATCTTTGTGGCTATCTTTACATAATCACGGCATTGTTCCGTTGGGGAGCCAAGGTACTGTTTGCCATGATGTCAGAGTGTTAAACAATGGCTCGTTTTCATATGTGTTTTGTAGTTGGAAATCCCCAAACAACCGCATCTTTCATTATTTTCATAGACAGCCTGACCGAAAGCTAGTTGCATAAAATCTATGATAATTTTGTATTCATGAGACTGAATGAACCGTAAAGTAAAGGATCGACACACTAGTCTCAGTTAGAAGTGTAATCGTATTTTTCAAAAATGATCATGAGCTCACTCGCCTCTGCCTACCGCCTCTTTCATCACAAAAGTTTTAACACACATATTGCACAAATTAATCATATATCGTAACTTTACTGTTCGTCAAAATCTAAAGATCGTTTATGCTACATTGTTGGTCGGACCCATTTAGGCAATAACAAGGCAGTGAAAAACGGATATGAATTTGATGTCGCATGACTATAAATATAATGAAAATATTTCTAATGTTCGGCAGGTAAAAAGCGACAAAACCTGTTCCATAGTCATAATAGATATCTGTCAGACTGCGCGTTGACAACTTCTTCAGGAAAAAGTCACAAACAAACAATATAATCACACTGCTTCTCGAGGAAACTCCAGGCCACCCTGCCCCAACTGTGTCATTCAATGGCAAGCTAATTTTGCACCAAATAAAATGTCAACGAGGGCATTTAGTCTAAGTCACAAATGATAAATCCGTCTTGCGCTGATTTTAAGATGGACTGTACTATTTCATCCAGGGTTATGTCTCTGCTCAAG